CAGCATATGTCCATGTATCGTGGGCTTTTTTTACAGAACTTTTAAGCGGGAAGAATTCCGTCATACATGATTTTTGTGTAACTTTAACCGTTTACCCAGCGCACGCAACGGAATCTCATAAATGAAATATTTTTCCCAGTTTTTGCAACATTTTTCATCGATGCTCCGCTACTACTGGACGTAGCCTGGTATTATACAGCCAAAGCCTTCCTCGACAAGTGCACTGTCCAATACAAAAATATTTTTTCAAATCGGAACAGCAGAGCAATGTTGCATTCGGTACAACGGGTCCTAAACTACGCAACGAATTTTTTACTTGGAATGGAAGGTTTATAATATATTGTTTTAAACTTTCATGGTCACTAACATTATAGTAATATAAGTTATTTACGGGATTGTTACCATGTACCTTGTTTTTAGCAAGTTTCCGATATTTCGGCACTGTTGCAAGCGCCATGATCACGGAGTAACTGAAGTAATTGCGGGTAGGCTGTTATTGGCAGACATATCGGTCTACCCTCCGACGAAGTCTTTTATTGCGACCCGTACCACTGTTCACATTCTCACTATTCACTCGAAACTGTTCTCGACACACAACACTTACAGTATCGGATCGCGACACGACACTTTTTTGATTATTTCCGGTTTTACACATACGAACCACAGGATTCCAGACACTCGACAATTTAAACCCGTCCTCACGATTGAAATTTTTATGTTTTGTTATTTCAATCGCTTCCCTGACCAATCTTGGTATGTAGTGGCGTTCTGTCGAGATAATCTGTGGGTTATGAAACTCAATCCAGTGGTTAGAACCAGAATTAATCAAATGTTCCGCGATGGCTGATTTCTGCGTATCGTTGTTCTTGATTGCTTTTATGTGTTCCCTCATTCGGCATGATACTGTTCGCTTTGTTTGGCCAATGTACGAACTGCCACAGCTGCAATCGATCTTATAGACACCAGGTTTCTCCAAGGGGAAGTTGTCTTTAGGAGACCGTAGGTATTGTGAAACCTTTCGCACAGGAGTGAAGACAGTGTTTAGTGAGTACTTATTCAGTATGTTTGAGATCTTGTCAGTCACTCCTTTGACGTATGGTAAATAAACAGGTTGTCTGTCTACTCTGTGTCTCTGGTGTCTTAGTTTGTGTCTTGATGGAAAATGTCCCTGGTATCCATTACTCTGTAAGACTCGTCGTACATGCTCCAACTCTTCTTGAAGATGTTCCTCATCACACAGGTCATATGCACGGTTCGTCAGTGAAGTCATTACAGAGTTAAGATGTTTAGGGTGGTGATGCGAGGAGGCGTTGAGATAGCGGTCAGTGTGTGTTGATTTGCGGTAAATGGAATGACCAAGCGAACCGTCATTCCTCACCCGAATCTTCACGTCCAGAAAGGCCAGACTTCTGTCTTCTTCGATCTCATAGGTAAAGTTGATTTTAGAATGGATACCATTTAAATTTGCCAAGTGAGACTCGACATCATGTTTGTTACCTCTTAATATACAGAATACGTCATCGACATACCTCTTCCATAGTTTTATTTCTGTGGGTGCGGTGATAAAGGATTTTTCTTCAAAATGCTCCATCCATATATTGGCAACCACTGGAGCCACGGGACTGCCCATTGCGACCCCATCTATTTGGAGGTAGTACTGACCCTGATATATGAAGAAATTCGTCGACAAACAATGATGCAACAGCTTGGCATATTCCTTCGGGATGTCATTTTCTTGCAACTTTACCTTCACCACTTCCAGACAATCCAACACAGGTACATTTGTGAACAGCGATTCTACGTCAAAACTGACCATCAACTGATTTTCATCTACCTTGTTTTGGTGCAAGATTTCTATGAAATGGCGGGAATCCTTCACAATCAATCAATGGGCAGTCCCGTGGCTCCAGTGGTTGCCAATATATGGATGGAGCATTTTGAAGAAAAATCCTTTATCACCGCACCCACAGAAATAAAACTATGGAAGAGGTATGTCGATGACGTATTCTGTATATTAAGAGGTAACAAACATGATGTCGAGTCTCACTTGGCAAATTTAAATGGTATCCATTCTAAAATCAACTTTACCTATGAGATCGAAGAAGACAGAAGTCTGGCCTTTCTGGACGTGAAGATTCGGGTGAGGAATGACGGTTCGCTTGGTCATTCCATTTACCGCAAATCAACACACACTGACCGCTATCTCAACGCCTCCTCGCATCACCACCCTAAACATCTTAACTCTGTAATGACTTCACTGACGAACCGTGCATATGACCTGTGTGATGAGGAACATCTTCAAGAAGAGTTGGAGCATGTACGACGAGTCTTACAGAGTAATGGATACCAGGGACATTTTCCATCAAGACACAAACTAAGACACCAGAGACACAGAGTAGACAGACAACCTGTTTATTTACCATACGTCAAAGGAGTGACTGACAAGATCTCAAACATACTGAATAAGTACTCACTAAACACTGTCTTCACTCCTGTGCGAAAGGTTTCACAATACCTACGGTCTCCTAAAGACAACTTCCCCTTGGAGAAACCTGGTGTCTATAAGATCGATTGCAGCTGTGGCAGTTCGTACATTGGCCAAACAAAGCGAACAGTATCATGCCGAATGAGGGAACACATAAAAGCAATCAAGAACAACGATACGCAGAAATCAGCCATCGCGGAACATTTGATTAATTCTGGTTCTAACCACTGGATTGAGTTTCATAACCCACAGATTATCTCGACAGAACGCCACTACATACCAAGATTGGTCAGGGAAGCGATTGAAATAACAAAACATAAAAATTTCAATCGTGAGGACGGGTTTAAATTGTCGAGTGTCTGGAATCCTGTGGTTCGTATGTGTAAAACCGGAAATAATCAAAAAAGTGTCGTGTCGCGATCCGATACTGTAAGTGTTGTGTGTCGAGAACAGTTTCGAGTGAATAGTGAGAATGTGAACAGTGGTACGGGTCGCAATAAAAGACTTCGTCGGAGGGTAGACCGATATGTCTGCCAATAACAGCCTACCCGCAATTACTTCAGTTACTCCGTGATCATGGCGCTTGCAACAGTGCCGAAATATCGGAAACTCGCTAAAAACAAGGTACATGGTAACAATCCCGTAAATAACTTATATTACTATAAGGTTTATAATGATTATGAAGAAAGTCAATGTGTATAATACAAGCCTTTGAACAAAAACTATAGTTTAAACTACAGCTACACCGGAGCAAAGCGAGGGCGGGCCACTAGTACATTACATTCATATAACTTTTACTGTTTCTGCAGTTATATTTGGCCAATAGGCTAGTTGACCCTTTTTGGAAAAAGGTTTTAAATGGTTAATAAATGTTCTATTAGACCGAAAAAAATGTATTGTATTTTTTTGAGACCTAGAAAGCTACAAATCTTTAATTTTAAAATAGACTTTTCATGGACATACAAAAACGCTGCCGGCCATTTTAGTCAATAGATTATCTATGCTATGACGTTGACAGTAGTAAACAAAAACTCGTAAGCACGTAGAAAATAACCCATCTGAGTTTATAATAAAAAGAAAACATGATTTCTAATAGATACCACGAAAAATATAGTAATTATTATTATTGTATTGTACGAGAATGTAAAAACACATCTTTGAAGACTCCAGGAAAGTTGTGGATTAAAGTGCCGAAAGAAATTAACCTACGCAATATCTGGTTAGAACTTGCTAAAAGGGATCCTGCAACTTTAACGACTCATAGTAAAATTTATTTTTGCGAAGATCACTTTGATGTAAATACTCATTGAAAAATATTTTAAGTCTCTTCATTTATTATCAGTTTTAATAATACAAGTTTTAAAGTTATGTATGAATGACATTTAGTTGTTTACTAAAACAGACGTCACAATCATGGCGGATGTGGCGAACAGCGTTTTTAGTGTTTAAAAAGTATAGACTAAAAATTGTTTTTTTAAATTAAATTTCTACAGCAATCTTCTGCTTTTATGAAGTGAAATCGATATATTTAGTTTCCTTAGACAAAATACTTTAAGAAATAAACATTTATTTAATACAATTCGACATGAGTCAACTAGCCTATTCACTCAGTAGCTACTCAAATTATTATCCATATGTTATTATTATGTATGAGCTATGTTATTTTTGTTTTATTAAAATTCATTGAGTTTTTTTTTTGATGAAAGAGTAACAAAGATCCTTGAAATTAAAAGCGCAAGTGGTCAATATCTTAGATTGGTATAATAAGCTCTAAGGGTTAATATAGAACTTAAAATCGTTGTAGATCTTAGGATTACATATAAATGAAAAATGGTGTAAGGAACCTAAACATGATTTTCTATTACCTATCTATTAAAGACAATGATACCCCTCGACATATTTCGTCAACTTATTTTTTTTTTAATATTATGGCGCATAGAGGACGATTCACGCTTCACCGTGTCACGACCGGGCCGTGCCCCGTCCAGGGCACGATCAAACTTTATGGTATACGTTTTGTATGAAGTAATTCATGCCTGACCGTGCGCCGCCGGGACTCGGCCGGGGCACGACGTTGAAATGTCGGTTGGTATTGTTTCCCGGCTCTGGCACGGTCCAGCGCCGACACGTTGTAACATGAACATATGCGCCCGGGCGCCCGCAGAGCAGTCAACGTCAAATCTTATTGAGGTGTAAGCTCAACTGCAAAATAGACGATGAAAAATTATTAGAATGTGAGCAAATTCTCTTTCTGCTTCTCGCTTTCTCCAGGTTGGATGAACACTCCAAGTGTTTGGCACGAAATGTATCGAGTTAGCATTTTCGATAAGCATTTCTTCTGTGAGGTAGTCAAAAGCATATTTTTAAAGATTCCATTATTCTTCAGTTGTGTAGACGGTTTATGGACAAAATAAAAGAAAATTGTTACACTTAAGACTAGGCTGTATGGGCATTATTCCCTTTGCCTTCCTTAAAAAAGGAGAATGTAAAAACAAATTGAAGTTGTCAAAAACAGCTGTTCGCTGCTGAGCAGGGATCGTAAAATTGAAACACATGAACTTACTGGATTTCGCTGATATTTATCGAAGTTTAGTTTACCTTTGCTTACTTTATTGAGCTTCAGAGTGTGCAAAGATCAATAGTTAAGTGCCTTTAATCCATAATAAGGCGCCGCTGCAGCAAAAAAGAGCTTTTCCTATGCTAAAACTTTTAAAAGCAACTATGGTTAGAATACACAGAATTTTAGTATTTAAGAAATACTATGCATATGATAAAACCAGTTTCTTGCAAAGGTATAATAATATCGACATTTATTAAATTTAAAAATGTTAGTACTTAGATTTTATGCTCAATATTTTTCAGGTGTATCATAAAACGGAATAGTTGTTCAGAATCGGTTAATAAGGTCACAATCGACAAGGATAAAATTCGTAATTTCAGTATAGTGGCACATGTTGACCATGGTAAAAGCACCTTAGCGGACAGATTACTTGAACTAACTGGTGTCATAAAACCTGGCACAGAACAAACCCAAGTTCTTGACCAGCTGCAGGTAACCTCTTTGGAATTATAATGCATATATTAAGTGAGGTAGCTGTCGCTACCCAGGAGGTATCCTGGGCCCAGAAAGTACAGATTTACCCATATTCCTTTTGTGTATCATTTTATATTTTTGCCCATATTTTTACACCAGTCTGAGTGCATTAGCAGAATGGTGGGACTCCCGATGCTAGCTTGCTGGATATGACTTTATGCACTCAAATAGGTGAGGGCATCTTGGAGTGACATTAGTGTGCCAAATAATTATTTATTCAAGCTGTCTGTGCTTTTTGCCTAACATTAGTATTTAAGTAGTTTTGCCTAACATTAGTATTTAGTAGTTACAGTAAAAGCTCCTTATTCACAGGGTACATGTTACAAAATATGTCCCGAATATGCAGTGGTAATTTATATAAGATTATAGGGGGTAAGTACCTAGGTGGCAAAAAATAAAAACAATATTTTTAATGATAATAATAATAAAGCCTTTTATTTAATCCATATAGGTTATTTACATTTTGAAAAAAGTTGTTAGTTTGTTAGTTGCAGTTCTTGATTGTTAAATTAGTATTATTAGTTTTTATACAGGTGCATTGATCCCTCTTTGGATGAAGGCCTCCCCCAGTTTCTCTCATTCTTTCCTATCTTGAGCTGATTTTGTCCAGTGAATGTTTGCTGTTTGTATAATATCATCACTCCAACATTTATACGGTCTTCCAATTTTCCTTTTTCCGTATGGTCCTCTCCATTCTGTAATATTCTTGGTACACCTTCTGTCTGATAGACAAGCAACATGGTCAGCCTATTTCCACTTCAGTTTGAGTGCATAGGTTAGATCGTCAACAGCCTTAGTTTTATCTCTAATTTTTGTGTGCTTAAACTTATCTAATTTTCTCTTTCTTAGCATGCTTCGTTCCATTGCTTTTTGTGTGGACCTGATTTTGTCTTTTATTTTTTTTGTGTAAGTCCAAGTTTGTGAGCCATATGTCAGACAGGGTAGAAGGCAAGTATCATGAACTATTTTTTAAAAATTTCTTTCGAAGACCAGTACTTCTTCCAGGTTAAATTAGATCTTCTTGTAACTTCCTCTCCAGTATTGTTTTTGGAAAATGAAACCTGTTTTTCCTAAGTATCTACATATTCAATGCTGTTGTTTCATAAGCTAATGGGTCATAATTTCTAGTTCTTTGTGAGTCTCAGCAAAGATAACAATGTCGTCCGCAAATCACAGATGACTTAGATGTTTATTGTTTACTAGTATTCCCTTCTGAATACTCCATTAAAGTTTTTTAAATACATTTTGTAGCACATCTATGAATAGCTTAGGCGATAATGGATCACCTTCTCTTACTCCTTTTTCTATTTTAATTTCATCCCCCCTTGTTTCGAGTTTAACTGTGCTAACACTGTTTTCATAGATGTCTCTAAGAATATTATATTTCTGATCGATTTTCAGAGAGCTAAGGGCTTTCCATATACAATTAGGACTGACTGTGTCAAATGCCTTGCTGTAGTCTACAAACGCAATATATAGTGTTCTATTGAATTTTTTGCATCTTTCTATTACTTGTTCTACCACATGGATGTGGTCAATAGTGCTGAAGCCAGAACAGAAACCTGCTTGTTCTAATGGTTGTGAGTTATCAATTGCGGGAGCTAAACATCGGAGGAGAACCCCTATAAAAACCTTGTATGTACTGGCAAGTAAGCTAATTGGTCTGTCATTGTTTAAGTCCATTGGATTTCCTTTTTTGTAGATTAGTGTTATTTCTGATCTGGTCCACTGTTTTGGTACCTTTTCTGTTTCTAACACCATATTGAATAATCTTGTTAGATTGTGGAGAAGTATAGGTTTACCTAGTTTTAGTGATTCATTACTGATTCCGTCCGGACCAGCACTTTTTTCATTTTTTAAGAGCTTAATCTGTGCCACTATAAAACTAGACAATACTGCTGCACCGTCACCGGACACGCATTATGAGGCTCGCGGTCCCCCTAGTGCTTGCCGAGAGGGCGGGTGTGGTCGCGGCACCTGTTTCCGAATGGCCGCGTTAACGAAGGGTACCTAGACCTTTTTATTAAGATTAAGATCCGAGAAAAATAAAATTTTAACCGCGTATATAGGAATTCGGTCGCAATTTTTTATCAGCGAATAGTGAAAACACGAATAAAAGAAGCGTGAATAAGGAGGTTTTACTGTATAATTTGTTTGTTACTTACCCACTATGGATCCACTGTTATCTGAAATAAATGATTACTTTAGATTAAATCGAACCCTTTTTGTTTTAATTAAAGATTATTACTATTTTAAAATTACTTTGACAGTCATGTTATTTTAACTCTTTAAGTAATGCATTTATTTAGCCACACATAATAAGTAACAATGAAAACAAAGCTTGGACTGTATACTGATTAATAATAAATTATAATTTTATGGATTTTAAGGTAATTTTGCGCATTTATAGTATGTAACTATACATGTTCAGTGGAATAGGACTCCAGCAAGCCCAAGTGTGAATTATAATATCCTGGCATCTAGCATACTTTTTCTTAATTGTTTATTCAGTTATTTATTAATTTACTTTTTATTGTTATACAATTAATGGCAGAATTAATTCCACATTTATTTCTTACAAATAACTGAAGATTATGTAAAATGTTCCAATCCAAATATATGTAGTTTCACTAGTAGTTATTTTATTATTTATTGAAACAACTAAATGTACTTAATGTGTATATTATTGTTGTAGGTTGAAAGAGAGAGAGGTATTACAGTGAAGGCTGTAACAGCATCATTAAACTACACATATGAAAATAAAACTTATTTATTAAATTTAATAGATACACCAGGACATGTGGACTTTTCTAATGAGGTGATTAGAATAATGTTATCATATATTCATATAGGCATTCTTTTTACCTGACTGCGCAATGTAAGAGCGCGAAGCGCGACGTGCAGACAGGGTATAGTGTTTAACAGTCTATATATGTATGTTGGTTCCTTTGTGGCACACTAGTTTGAAAAGTTGAATAGATATCTATTGATAACATTAAATTGTAATAAAATAATATTGAAAAGAAATGTGAAGAAAAATATAAAGTATATGTCAGAGGCATAGTTGATTGTGAAGTTTTTGGTTGGTTATTAAATGGACATGATAATTTGAAAACACCAACTAAGAACTTTTGTAAAATCTACAATCTGTGGTAATAGCTGACGCCTGATAACTATAACTTCATTGTCATTCACTGAAAGGATAATTAAGATCTTCTGCAGGGACAAAAATCAGGGAAACTGTCTCAGTTTTTTTTGGAAAGTTTAAAATATTTATATAATATAATATAAAATGTATATGCAAAAATCTGAGATGGGATTATTTTGCCCTAGTCTTATCAACTTTATAATAACTTACATTTCATCATTCATATATCTAAATCTATTGTTCATTACATTACAGGTAGTTCGTAGTGTAACAGCATGTCAAGGCGTAATACTACTAGTCGATGCTAATGAAGGTGTACAAGCTCAAACAGTTGCGGTACATTCTTTAGCCAAAAGAAATAACATGACCATAATACCCACACTGAATAAAATTGACTTACCCAGGGCAGATCCTGACAAAGTTAAAACACAATTGAAATCATTGTTTAATTTTGATCCCGAAACAGTCATGAGCATATCAGCCAAGAAAGGCTGGGGCGTAAAGGAATTATTAGAAGCAATAATAAAGAGGATACCACCTCCTCCCGTAAGCTCCGATGGTCATTTTAGGGCGCACATTATAGACACATGGCATGATAAGTATAGGGGTGTACTATGCCTAGCATATATTCATTCAGGAAAGATACAAATCGGACAAGCAGTAAAATGGTTGTCAGAAACTAAACAACAAACAGTAAAATCCTTGGCACTGTTGAGACCAAAAGAAGAACCCATTGATGAAGCAACTGCTGGTCAAGTTGTAATGGTGGGTGAGTGCATGTAGATTATAATCCTGAAGTCAGTAAGGTCATAATAATATGCTTATTTCTCACCACAGAGAACCCCACTAGAGGTCTTTACAAGGGCACCCCAAGTGTGTGACAAGCACCTAAATATTCGCGATACATAGTTTGCAACTAATTTGACGTCACACTAAAGTGTCTAATCAAAACGCGGCATGCCCTCCCCACACGTCGCAAACGTTAGGGATTTCGATTAAAACTTAGATTTAAACAAAAAAAGAAGATACGGTACGCTCATACTAGCATCAAATAAAATATGATCCGACTCAACTACATAAGAACTCTCACATACGCACACGTCTGTCTAATAAAAATTTCAATCGAGCGAGCGAGACAAAACTGTACGCTTCAACGCAGCGCGAGCGAAACGGCGAATCCACTTCCGAGTTCGTACGGCTGAGCTGTATTGTTGTCCTTTTCTTGATAACAAAATGGCGATTACGTTAATAGCATTCACAACGAACCATTTTTGAGAAAAAAATGTTTTTACAGTTTTACGAATGAAAAGTGTTGCCGGGGCATGTGTTATTTGATTTTGAACTAATTGTGTTCTTTATAAATGCATCGAAGATATTGTTTTATGTTTAGAACACAGAATATACGCAATATTGTTATATTGAGTGCACATGCAGTGTGTTTGAATGTCTAATTGTGACTAAAGCTAATTGTGATCATGCACCACAATTTAAGCGGGTCACTTTTGAGCCGCCCGTATCTGCCCTTTTTGTTTTAATTTAAGGAATAAAACAAAAATTGAGTAATGTTGGCTCTAGTGGATTGATATGTGTTTGTCACCCTTTTCTCCTAAAAAATATTTAATTGCTATTGTACCTATAGCCCCATTGTAATTTGTTTTAGGTTGTGGACCCAAGGGTGGTGGCAGTGTTGGTGATCAGTTACTGTCAACAGATTACCCTTTAAAAGAAATAAGTACTAGCACTAATCATGTTAAGCATATGGTGTATGCCGGTATCTTTCCTGCAGATCAGTCACAACACACCCTTCTCAGTGACGCCATCAAGAAACTGGCTTTGAATGATTCAGCTGTCTCTATGCACCCAGATTCCAGGTTATTTTAATTTGAAAATGAGCAAATCTTAAAAATTTTGACCTCATGGAGTGGTTTTCTTAAACAAATTGAATGGTGAATTATTACTTAATTCAAAAATTAAATTTAATATTATAACCATAGTATATTGATTCTTGTTCTGCAGCCCGGCTTTAGGACAAGGTTGGAGAGTTGGCTTCTTGGGGCTTCTACATCTTGATGTATTCACCCAACGTCTTCTACAGGAGTACAAAGCTGAAGCCATATTGACGGCCCCTTCAGTCCCTTATAAAGTAAAGTAAGTAAACATTTACAATAATTTATATAATTAAACCTACATACCTAAGTTGTTGTTTTCCTGTTAGTTTCGAAGACTTCCGTAAAAGTTTTTTTTTAAGTAAATTTGTATTCTACGATATTGGTGGATTCTGGCATGATTCTCTAAACCTAAACTTAAATTTGACAACAGTGGTGTTGATTCTAGCATAATTCTCTAAACTTAAAACTAAATTTAACATCAGTCTCTCCTTTTCATTCTGTATAGAGAATGAAAAGGAGTGACTGATGTTAAATTTAGTTTTAAGTTTAGAGAATCACGCCAGTATTGGCACCACTATATCCTTGTCATTCTCTACACAGAATGAAAACGAGAGACTGATGTTAAATTTAGTTTTAAGTTTAGAGAATCTCGCCAGAATCGACACCATATTATTATTAAACATGTTAAAAAATAGTCATCAATCATGGATCATCTGTCAATTATTTGTTATCAGGGCTGGAAATTATCAAGATAATTATTTTCACGAATGCAAGCAATCTAGCAATGGATAAATAGTTTATGCGTATAATTGCAAGTATGTTTGTATTTTAGGCATTATTTTCCCTTTCGGCCGTCTACAAAACCGTAGTTTCGTAACTGGTTTCAATGCAGGAATTTATTATTCCTTGTACGTAACTAATTTCGATGAAGGAATTATTTTTTTATTTCTTTGTACGAAACCTCGGCTACGTACAAAGATTTTTTTCTATTTTTCAAAGAAGCACGAGTAAATAGACGCATAAAAGTGAGACTTAGGTCTAAAAACTATATAAAATAGGTTCAGTAGTCTATAAATGAATTAAAAGAAAATAACTGTTTGTTATCATCTCATTTCAGAGTGAAAGGTGCTAAAATTATCAAACAATATAAAGGAGATGAAGTTATTATCACAAACCCATTACTACTGCCAGATCCGAATAACATTGAGGAGTATTATGAACCTTTCGTAATAGGTAAGACGTGTCTACCTACTGACTAAAGTTTTTACATTTCCTCATCAGCTTCCTACAAGTTAACAAAAATCATACCTAGTTACGTAACAGAGATAGATACTCTCGTTTCTAAGTATGAAATCCAAACTCATTGATCTATACACGGTAACAAGGAAGTACAGACTCCAGACGAATTATCCGGTCAATCTAGACATTCAAATGTCGATAAATTTACATCAAGCTGAAAGTGAGTAAAATTGTTCAAAGCGTACTTAAAAATAACATATAAAAATTCCCCAACGTTCCGGTACATGGAAAAAAATTCCGGTAAAAAAAATGGGTTTTTCGCTTATTTCAACAAAACGGTAAGTTTTATCGAAAATCATTGAATTATCTATAAAAATGTATTAATATTTCTTACATAAGAACCACTATTGCTGTGATATTCAACAAGTTGACATAATAAATAAGTAATAATTCGGCGTAATATGCACACGTTTCCACGCTACCTTTGAGGTAGTGTCCTTAGCGCGTTTTTTTAACGTGGTTGGCTGATTCTAGAGTATAGTATTCTTTCCTGTTAAACATTTGACTTTCGTCCCTTCGTTGTGATATACCCATTATTTCTTCCAAATTATTGTAACCCGTACGAAGTACGCCGGGTCAACTAGTAACAAAAATAAGGTAATGGCTGGATTGATAAAAGCGATGGAAATTAAATCAAAAACATCAGACATATTATTCGTCCGATTCATAATCTTCAATTACTTCTTCTTGTTGTTCTTATTCTTGATCTAATTCTTGTTCTTCTACCTGGGTGTAAGCCAATTGCGTTAGTAGCGATGTATCGCATGTCTCTTCGTTGGTAGCAAACGAATCCTCCACTGTTAGTGATTCAACATTCTAACACGACTGGTCTTGACAAATCGTACATGCCAAAGAAAAACGTGCATATCGATACTTATCAAAGCGTCACTGTATTTGAAAATATACAAATATTTATTTATTATAATAATAAAATGTTTTACAAGTTAATAAAATGAGGTATAAATAAAAATCTTTTTAATTAATATATTATACATGGCATTTATTAAAAACATAAATTTGAAAATAAAATAAAAAAAATCTACGGTTTCTGCTTGTTCGGAACGCTTTATTGTTAGCAGACAAAGTAAAATAAATTCTCATTCTTATATACAACTTTTCCAAAAAGCTTATAGGGATGCATGGGCAGGGCATTGTAAGACAGGACTTTCACTTAATATCAAATTGCGCTAAAAACTAAAGCGGCGCGGCGGCTGCAAGCGCGAATGTGCCGGGCGGGAACGAGCAGCGAGCGAACGTGCTATCACCATGTAAACGCGCGATAACACCGAACGCACGGCCCAGACTGCCGCCACATTATGCACCCGTATTTTATGTCAATGTGTGCGTCACAGTGCGTGCCTACACGGCGCCGAGTACGAAAGCACACATTCTAGCCAGCGGCCAGTTTGTATGAAGACGTATTACTGTTCTGGGTATACTGTGATTATACTTTGTTTATTGTCATTTGTCATCAGTCTGTACGGCTGTAGTTGTTGTTACTGATTTCGGTTACACAAATTGCGTTATAATTTATCTTAAAATCGCAATAATATTTACGTGTAAAAATAGACCAGAATGTACATTTTTCTTTCTCTTTCGCTAGGTACAATAATAACGCCCGTCGAATACATAGGCCCAGTAACAACACTATGCCTGGACCGGCGAGGCTCTCCCCTACCAACCAGTGCAGTAGATGACAAAAATACGTTGATGCAATTCATACTGCCTTTGTCGGAAATCGTGGTAGATTTCCATGATACGCTTAAGAGTATAACTTCAGGTTTCGCCAGCTTCGATTACCAAGATCACGGTTTCCACCCCAGTGCTCTAGCGAGGGTAAGATTTTAATTGAACTGCTTTAGCCTCAATTAATACCGCCACAAAATGGAATGGAAGCATTGACATATAAAAATAAGTAGGTACTGAGCCCTGCAATCGTGCTCAAAAAGTGTTTGAAGCAAAATGACGCACACTCTTCTATTGTGCGCAAATATATAGTCTCCTTTCTACAAATCGCACGTAAAAAGAATAGAGGGAATATAAAGCCGTTTTATGAGATACCTCAATTACGTGGGAACTTGAGGCTCATCCGATTATGTCGATAATTGCCTTAAAAATGGACTATTAACTCTTGAAGAGCGTAGGATACTATCGGATATGATCTTTATGTTTGATATCGTAAGAAGCATATTTATACCCCTGAGCTTTTAGCTAACATTAAATTTTGTACCCCAAAGCGTCGTACCCCGTAATCTGCTACTCCACCACGTTACTTTTTGTGGTGCAAATGAAATTCTGACTCGGTTACCTGTCTTATATAAAAAACTTTTTAGTGGTGTAGACATTTTCTCAAATACTAAAAGCGTTGTCAAAACACAAATTATTTCTAAATTAAAATATCAACACTGATAGCCGTTTGCAACGGTCTAACGCGACCTGCCCCTCTAGCATGACCACCGATACGGGATATGATTAAGCGATATATCGGCATTAACGGTCAGACTAGAGTGGAGTATGACAGTAGTCTGACAGTTAATGCCGATATATCGCTTTATCATATCCCGTTTCTGTGGTCATGCTAGAGGGACTGGCATTAAAACATGCATACCTACATGTTACCCTTAGATTAAAACAAAAAGAGTAGATACGGTATGTTCATATTAGCATCAAATAAAATATGATCCGACTCAACTACATAAGCAACTCTCACACACGCACACGTTTGTATATAAACATTCAATCGAGCGAGCGAGACTACTATACGCTTCAACGCAGCGTATTGTTGTCGTTTTCTTGATAACAAATGGCGATTACGTAAATAACATTCATTTATCAACGAATAAAATGTTTTTACAGTTTTACGAATGAAAAGTGTTGCCGAGGCATTTGATTTTGAACTATTTGTGTTCTTTATAAAAGCATCGAAGGCATTGTTTTATCTTCATAGCACACAATGTACGCAATATTGTTATATTGAGTGCATATGCAGCGTGTTTGAATGTTCAATTGTGACTAAAGTGAATAGGGGTGATGACTGGGTACAGTAAACGAAATTCTATTTAGTCCGTCAGTTAGACGATCAAAAAATAATGGACACGTATTTTTTCTTTGGACAATCAACCAAAAAGTGACAAAGTTATAACGCGTCAAAGTTTGGGAGTAACTAGTGACGTCACTTTTGAGTGAATTTTCACTTAAAAGTGTACTAAAACGTGACGTCATGCGACTTTTCAAATCAATATATCTCTGCAATGTTTATATTATGTGAAAAAAGAAAAAATACGTGTCCAATACTTTTTGATAATCTACCTGATAAACGAAGAAAAAAAATTTGTAATCATCCCTATTATGGTCATGCACCACAATTGAGGCGGATCACTTTTGTACCGCGAGTGCCGTATCTTCCCTTTTTGTTTTAATCTAAGATGTTACCTATTTATTTTAGTTTGCACAATGACAGTTTTAGTTACTATTGTATCTTATTTAATTCGTAGAAACCTGTTATTGACCATGCTTATTACTGAGTTCAATTATATTTTTTTTGATTCACTGTTGATTTCTCAAAAATAAATAACTTAATATAAAAAATAAATAAGTTATTTTCATAATAAATTCAAAATATCAAGTATTTTTGCAGATGGATATTTTATTAAATGGCGTACTTGTAGAAGAATTGTCGACGATAGTACACGTCAGTCGTTTGGAGTATAATGCGAGACGGCTGACAGAAAAACTCAAAGAAATGATCCCACGACAGATGGTGCAGGTATATTTTTTATAATATATTTTTATTGACTATATTCATATTTTTATAATGGATAGTGGTGTCGATTCTGGCATGATTCTCTAAACTTAAAACTTAATTTAAGATCAGTCTCTCTTTTTATTCTGTATAGAGAATGACAAACATAAGTTTTAGATAATCTTGCCAGAATCTAAACCACTGTTATGTTTGGTTTTATTTAGGTAGACAAATAGATTTGTAAAGGCAAACATAAATTCAGAATGAAAATAGAAGTCTGAAATAAGTAAACAAAGTCTTACCTCTACCTGGAAATAAGCACGACCTTAATGAAGCCACACTTTTAGTCTCACTGAAGAGGTCTAAAGTGGGACTGTTAAAGTTTGTTAATATGCGCTTCAATACAAAGGATCCATTCATTATTATCCATACAACTCTGCCTAATTTTGTAGTTGAAGGATTATCATGCATTTATGTGTAGAAAAACACGCCGAATTCATCAAAAATAGAAATGGAGTTTATTCTCCACTTGTATCAGATAAAAAAGTCGTTCAAATATTTATATGAATGGCAACACAGATAAATATATGCACGTGAGTTTTGATGCAACAAATCACAATCAAGGAAATGAATTTAAACCATTAGCTGTCATCTGTCAGTCAATAACAAATTGCGTCGGAAGTAATAAGGTTTCTTTATACGCAGATTCTATATTTTTTGTAATTTGGAGTGAAAATAAATAACTATGATTTATTTTAATTCAGATTATCAGCAATTTTTCTTGAATTTGTTGGAGATTTTGATGAGTGACACTTTTAAGTATAATATTGGATGTTTTTTTAGATAATTTGTACTAAGGTAAAAAATTAGGCAAAAATCGTAAGTCTCCTTTACATTTAAATCATATTTACATAATACAATAGAACCGTTAGTAGTAGCGTTAACATGTCGGCCATGCCACAGTGTTGTGCAGTTCCTTTTATTCGGAGAAAGGAGAATATAAGTTTCTGAAAGATAAAACTGTCTGAAAAATACTGACATTCATTGATCTGTAACTCATATTTGCCATAATAAATCTGAGTTATTGCCAAATATTCCCAGTAGGCAATAACATTTTATGAACTTATTTTAGTCGCTCTTGGCCCCATAGCATGAGCACCACAATTTACATTATATCACGTTTTTATCGCGTCTCACTGTCAAACTCTGTAGTAGTTAGACAATTGAGCGTGATAAAAACTCGTTATATATCATACCGCGGTGCTCATGCTGGGGGGGCTGGGATAGAAAATGCAATTATTATGATTTTGTTGTTTGATAAAAAAGCTTAATTAGGTTTACCTTAAAGTACATGAACGGAGCGCAAATATTGGTATTTATTTTGGGGTTTTCCAAAAGGCATTGACTAAAACTTAGTTACAATTACAATAATGAAAAAAAAAATGTTTCAGGTTGCTATCCAAGCTGTGGTAGGCGGAAAAGTTTATGCTAGAGAAACTTTAAAAGCTTACAGAAAAGATGTCACTGCAAAATTGGTAAGCACCACCCATTTCTTTCCATCTAGGTAAGGCCTGTGCCCCAGCAGTAGGGACATTAATAGGCTGATGATGATGATGACCAATTTCTTTTGTTGAGGGTTGGTGGGTGAAATTTTGTCGGCAGTTTTTAAATTGATTCATAAAAGTGCTGAAAGCACATATTACCTTTTGAACATTAGAATAGAACAGAATGTTGTATAGAAAATTATGCTTAACTGTTCGATAACAAAGTTCAAATTGATTGAGATCAAGGTTTTTAACATTGTCTTTAGTCTTGTGCTATTTCAATATGTATTATCAAAATTAATAATATGCTTGATGAATTAAAATCCAAAACTAAACCGGCCATTATCATTTATTTTAACCTCAGTGATACTTATGCTGTTTGCAAACTTTTTTTTTATAGTCGGAGAGCCCACTGCGAAATATCTACCCGAATCGGACTTACGGACAAATCGTGTACGATTCGATGGGGAATGTGGTCGTGATAGGGTTGCCGGACATGATAAACCCTGTATCTTGACCGAAGGGTCGAAAAAAGGGCCACTTCCGGTCAATTTTTCGGGAGCCTGCTACCCGGATAAAACTTACAATCAAAATTAGTGCCAATCGATAGGGGATGTTGAGCACTTTAAGGAAAAATCGGGTTGCCACCCCCCACCCTGTCAGGGGTTGCGGCAGCCACCCTTAAGTGTGACCCATTTTCCTATTGCACTACCCGGATCGAACTTACGATTTTTTTTTTCCAAATCGAAGCTTGAACTTTCCCCAACACGAAAAAATAGGGTTGCCACTTCTGACCTTGACCAGAACAGCCGTCAGCCAGCCCCGAGTTACCCAATTTCGAGGTTCCAATTTCGATCGCAATTTAACTACCCGCATCGAACTTACGATTTCTTTTTTTTTTAAATCGAAGCTTGAATTTCCCCGAACACAAAAAAACGAGGTTGCCAACTTTGGCCTTGACTGAATTTTTTTCTGCCAGTGAATTATGGCGTCAATATTAATTTATTTTATTTTGGAGCAGATCGAAGCGTTGAGATCGTGGCAACAGTGTAACGACAGCAGCTGCTACGTCCTCATGTATTATGGGGTTTTTTTAAAATTCCCAGGTAGAAGGGATCTATCTGTTTTCGGTCTAGCAAAAAAAAAAATTGCCGGGTTATTGAAATAGAAGTAGATATGTGTCGTTACGCGTTTTCTAAATAACACAACGAAACGTTACCGGCGTTCTCACAACGTTGTCGAAAACGTCTATTTTAAAACGATCTATTTTACAACCACCACGCAAAGTCAATATGTCGACTCGGCGAGATTGCAAATTTTTCAAAAATTGTACATGAAAAATATGAATAGCGACCACTTTCTGACAAGAGTTAAAGGTTTTGAGTCAAATCTGATTCCTCCGTGTTGGAAAACTTTGAAACAAAACATCCTCAGGTCAAGCTTCATTAATGCAATGTGGCTAAATGCGACGAATGAAGTTTGCATTAAATTCAACCCTCAAGAATGTGGATGGATTCTCCATGATAAACTTGTCCCTCTGTGGTATCAAGGAGATCCAACCCCGTTGAGAGTAGAAGACATTATAATCATAGAACCGACTCGAAGCAATGATAATGAGGATTTTGCGGTTCATAGTTCCGACTCCGATTCCGAATGAGTTTGCCGTTAAGTTTTAATTGTAATGATTTTATATTTATCGTAATTGGAATTGTAAAATTATGAATGAATAAAACTGTTTGTTCATGTCATACAAACCCATGTTTTTCAATCCACGCCTCTGCCAACCTGCCCAAAGATTGTTCATTCCTTAATGAAATAAAAAAAAAAAAACTGATTTTCTAATGTTTTTTCATGATTCGTTTCGATCTGCTCCAAAATAAAATAAATTAATATTGACGCCATAATTCACTGGCAGAAAAATTTTCAGTCAAGGCCAAAGTTGGCAACCTCGTTTTTTTGTGTTCGGGGAAATTCAAGCTTCGATTTAAAAAAAAAAGAAATCGTAAGTTCGATGCGGGTAGTTAAATTGCGATCGAAATTGGAACCTCGAAATTGGGTAACTCGGGGCTGGCTGACGGCTGTTCTGGTCAAGGTCAGAAGTGGCAACCCTATTTTTTCGTGTTGGGGAAAGTTCAAGCTTCGATTTGGAAAAAAAAAATCGTAAGTTCGATCCATCCATCGTAAGGGTAGAGCAATAGGAAAATGGGTCACACTTAAGGGTGGCTGCCGCAACCCCTGACAGGGTGGGGGGTTGGCAACCCGATTTTTCCTTAAAGTGCTCAACATCCCCTATCGATTGGCACTAATTTTGATTGTAAATTTTATCCGGGTAGCAGGCTCCCGAAAAATTGACCGGAAGTGGCCCTTTTTTCGACCCTTCGGTCAAGATACAGGGTTTATCATGTCCGGCAACCCTATCACGACCACATTGCCCATCGAATCGTACACGATTTGTCCGTAAGTCCGATTCGGGTAGATATTTCGCAGTGGGCTCTTGGACTATTATAAAAAGTATCGAAACAGTATTGTCACTTCACATTTATTGAAATGTTAGCAGCTGTACCCTAAGCACGAAACATTATCAAATTTGATCTAGATTTGCGTCAAATGTGTAGGTACTGATTCTCGTTAGATCCATTGTGGCGCTGCTGTTCAAGTTTACTATAAAAGGACATGGTCCAAAAGAGGTAGTCGGTTTCCGGCAGCGACGAAACATAATTATATCATTTGAAAGCTTGTTTTGTATTTTAACATAAACAGATACTTTTTTTATTTATCTCTGATTAATTTTGAATAGTGTTTAATTTTTTTTATAATTTTGTAAGGCTGCTGGCCACACATGACATAATTAACGTCATATTTTGAGTGTGTGGCAGCTTATAACGTCTACTGAATCTCTATAGCAAATTTCAATGAGTTTAGTCATGCATGATATTCGTGAAATCATGGTGAACTGATTATACCAATATGATTGATTCTTCTTGAAATAAAAAAAACCCCAATAAAGTAATGAAAGATGAACAGAATCATTATCACTGCTTTAGTCACCTATTAAATAGAATATATTTGATGCTTTGGCAACAAAAAATAGATAAATAAACTTGCCATTTGCCGATAAATAATTTTATATTACATATAATAATGATTAAAAAAAACCGCAATCGATTTACAAATAATACCCTACGTGTCACAAAAAAATTGGAGTCTGCCGAAGACTAACTACCACCCTTCAGACAAATTTGAACAGTCTCCTTTGATAATGACATTTCGCACTCGCAAACGTAACGAATTCGATATTGGTTCGTTTGTTCCTATCGTTGATTCTTGCAGAAGTGCAAGCGAAAACTGACCTAAAGGTGACGGAACTTTTTCATTTCGCGAATGTTAATTAACTAACACTTAAAGAAAAATAAGAAATGAACAGTCTAACCTTGCAACAGCAGGAAATGTTGCAATTTCGCACAATAATTATTTATTTATTTTTATAGTATGGTGGCGACGTAACCAGACGAAAAAAATTACTGAAGCAACAAGCCGAAGGGAAAAAGAAAATGAGGAGCGTGGCTAACATAAAAATACCAAGGAATACATTTATAGATGTTCTAAAGAGATAAAAATTAATATAAATTTCGTTAAACGAATTTCTCTTTTATTTTCGGAAAATTCATAAAGTGTTATTACAGTTTAGAATGTATAATACTATTTACTAAAGTCTGGAATACTTGTCGCAAGTAAAAACTTCAGCAAATACCTCAATAGGAACAAAGACACTGCCAGGAGGCTGTATTTAAGTATATGTCCAGAAGTGTGCAAGATTTAGCGGTGTTGGACACCTCACGCAACGCTACTCTATGAAATGTCATGAAACATCATAAAGTCTTTCTTCTATAGTGCGACAGATTTTATCACTATACCGGCTTTAATCTTCTTTAAAAAAAGCTGCCAGTGCGACGGACTCGCCCATGAAGGGTTTCGTAGTAGCAAGTAACATAATATAAAACCTGTCCCCCGCGCGCTCTGCAATCGCTACCTATCAAGCCACGCCCTATTACTTTTTTTTTAATTTATTATTAGAAAATAATGGTTCACAGTTTATGCATAACGTTAATGTTTATGAAATTAAATGTTTTCTTTTATGTTTATATTTGAGGTTTAATTTTATCAGTCTCTTATTTTAGAAGTTACAGTGGGGAGGACACTCATTTTACCACTTCGGAAGTGTCTCCCGCGTCAACTATTCAGTTTAGAAAAAAATATCATTTTTGAAGACCTACCCATAGACACGCCACACGTACGAAAAAAATTTTTTTTTTGTATATAGTATCCACTTACTAAGTTTCAACAGTATTGTACAAATCCCAAAAATCTTTGAAAGGTGCAAGGATGATAAAATATAAACTACCGTTCAAATTCAAAGGAATAAATGTATTCGAAAAGAAACCTTATTTTCTAAGGCTTATACTTTAGAGCTTTTTGGAAAAAAACAAACAGTCTTAATCATAGACCTTAGGGTTACCTGTGAGCGTTGCAGGTGTGCATCAGTCTAGGGACATCGCCAATGTTTTTCGGCAGCATTTTAAAGTTGACTCACCATTGGGGCCCGCACCGCGGTTGTTCGATTCTAAACATTACACGGAGCGGGGTGTGCAGGGGATGTGACCAAGGTGATAAAAAATATGGTAAGGGGTAAATCCCCAGGTCACGACTCCCTTAGTATCGAGCATCTGCAGCACTCGGGCGTCCACTTGCCTAGAGTACTTTCTATGTTTTATACTCTTTGTTTGGGCCACTCCTATTTACCAGAGAAGTTAATGCTTGCTGTGGTTGTGCCAATAATAAAGAACAAGACCGGTGATGCATCAGATTTAAATAATTACAGACCGATTTCGTTAGCTACTATAATTGCAAAAGTGCTTGATGCTCTGCTTGGCCAACACTTGGATTCAAACATTAAATTACATGACGCTCAGTTTGGCTTTCGCCCTGAGCTTTCCACTGAAAGTGCCATTTTGTGCCTTAAGCAAGTTGTCCAATACAACAAAACGAGAATAACACCAATCTATGCATGCTTTCTCGACCTGTCACACGGGCATTTGATTTGGTGTCATACAATACACTGTGGGATAAGTTACGCTGTAATACTACCCTTCCAAATGAAATCACTGGGCTGTTCGGGTATTGGTACAATCATCAGAAAAACCAAGTGAGATGGGCAGACTCGCTTTCTGATGCATACAGGCTAGAGTGTGGGGTGAGACAGGGGGGATTGACTTCACCTAGCTTGTTTAATCTGTACATTAATGGGCTGATTGAGGAGCTCAATAGTACAAAAATCGGATGCCATATTGACGGTGTCTGCGTAAACAACATCAGCTATGCAGACGATATGGTGTTGTTGAGCCCTTCGATTAGTGCCTTGAGGCGTCTTTTGGGTATTTGTGAAAAATATGTCAAGGGCCATGGACTCAGGTATAACTCGAAGAAAAGTGAGACAATGGTTTTCAAGGCGGACAATAAAACTTATTCTATAGTTCCAAATGTTTCACTTGACGGGTCACCGTTGAACAGAGTTGAGCAGTTTAAATACCTGGGTCACTGGATCACGTCGAATTTAAATGACAATTTGGACATAAATCGGGAACGCAGGTCGTTGGCTGTCCGATGCAATATGATCGCCCGCAGGTTCGCACATTGTACTAATCAGGTTGAGGTCACACTATTTAAAGCATATTGTCAGTCTTTTTAAACATGCAGCCTGTGGGTGGACTATACGCAGAGGGCATACAGCGACTTGCGTGTGCAGTACTACAATGCATTCAGGGTGCTGATGGGGCTGCCGCGCTTTTGTAGTGCCTCGGGCATGTTTGCCGAGTCCCAGATAGATGGATTTCACGCGATAATGAGAAAAAGGTGTGCATCTATGCTGGGGCGACTGCGCGCCAGCTCCAACGGCATCCTGAGAACATTGGCGGCGCGCTGGGACAGCGCTGGGTGCATCTACATACTTTACACCCATGAATATTGTCGTACCTATATCTATTAATTGTTAACTTAATTTAATTGACATGTACAATAGATTATAATTGTGAATATAATTAATATGGATAATTTGGTAATGATTGATTAATTAATATACTAATACTACTAACATAGGATAAGCCCGACATTGTTACTAACTTGTACTAATAACTATGGATTATAATTCTATAATTATCTGAAATAAATGATTATTATTATTATTATATAATCGAGTAAAAATCTCAACATCGCCATTCAGACATCACACTATGCAAAATGATGGCGCCATCTAGTGACCGTTGACAACAACACTTTCACCTTATCTATTATCTTTACAATAAATAAGTAACATGCATTTGGGGTTTATTGGCGTAAACATACCGCCCCCCATGGACCGAGTGTCCATCAAAAATATTTACTATGCCACAAATCATATTACGCAAAGAACTAAAATATATAAACTATGCCACAAATCATATGCAAACTTAAACACAACTAAAATAAAACTTACGCGCGTACAATATTCGGCTATTTTCAATCTACAAGCTTTCTACACTACACTACTTATTCTATTACATTTTATTAAAAGCATAAGCATTAGATAAGCCAGCAATGGATACATATTACATTCATACCTACCTTATCATAATAAATTTCACTCTAGTATAGGCAATACTCTTACTTTCGACATAGGCCTTTTAATTATATTAGATCCCTTGCATTTAATACTAACCACTCTAGTGAGCTTATCGGATCTACAATGCTTTTCAACTATCACTCCATACAACCATCGGGCTGGGGGTAAGTCATCCTTCATAATCAACACAATGTCTCCCACCTTTGGTTCCGATAAAACATTACGCCATTTGTAACGATAAAAAAATTGGGTCAAATATTCCCTCGACCATCGTCGCCAAAACTCTTGGACCATTTTTTGAGTTACCTTCCACCTACGTAACTACTGATATTGGAGTTTTCATAATTATGGTCAGGTACCAATACTAAGGGTTCTCCAACTAAAAAGTGACCGGGAGTAAATGGATATGGATCTAATGGATCAATATCAGACATTTGTGCTATTGGTCTCGAATTGAGACACGCCTCAATTTGTGCCAAAAAAGTCGTAATTTCTTCAAAAGTTAGTTTAGATTCCCCTATGACTCGTTTGATATGGAACTTTGTTGATTTGATCCCTGCCTCCCATAGTCCTCCAAAATTGGGTGAACGAGGTGGAATAAAGTTCCAATTAGTGCCATTATTTGAAAGCCAGTTAGCAATTTCGACTGCTACACCGGATCTTTCCCTTTGAAAAAGAATCTTGAGTGCGCGTGCGGCTCCAACGAAATTGGTACCGTTATCGCTCCACAATTCAGCACAATGACCACGGCGAGCACTGAAACGTTTAAAAGCAGCGATAAAACTTTCCTACGTCATATCACTGACCATTTCTAAGTGAACGGCTCTGGTAGTCATGCATATGAAAAGGCAAATGTACCCCTTTGAAGCATGAATACCCCTGCCCTTTGCGGATCTAACAGCAATTGGACCTGCGTAGTCGACTCCACTGCAAAAGAATGGTCTGGCTGGAGTGGCCCTTGCTTCTGGAAGTTGACCCATTAACTGGTGATTTGGACGTGCAGAATAACGAATACAACGTATACATTGTCGTATATGACCCTTGACTTGTCGCTTCATGTCGATTATCCAGTAACGCGATCTCAAATGATTCATTGTCAGCTGAACACCTCCGTGCATAGTTTTTTCATGTGCGTCAGCTATTATCAAATCCGCTATATGAGATTTGCTTGGTATCAGAATAGGATGTTAGAAATCGTTGCATAATGTTCGAACCTTGTCCAGCCTCCCACCGATCCTCAATATGCCTACTCATGGAGCACCCCCACTAGAGTCCACATACAAGGCAAGCGCTTACGCCAAGCTTAAGTAGTATTTTACCTATGCGTGAGGCACGCCCACAGACGTCGCGATACATCATTTCATTTGGTAACCGAGCGTCGGTCGAACTGCTTCTCTCGTTTTCGTGTTAAAAAACTGTAAAAAATGCCTTACAATGCAATTCAATTGTGTGGAAAGTAGAGTAAAACTTCCAGTCTTCAAAAATATAGTATTACTTTTCACCGGTAAGTTTAAATACATTACAAAAAGACAAAAATACTCTTATATTAAATTGCTGTTAATTGTATTTATTTTTTGGTGAACGCGTTGATGTCTTTGTACATTGTCCCTTTCTCGCATGCGCTATATCATATATGCTATCCCGGTCTCACACCGGCACGTGTATTGCTAGTGACGCAGACGCAGCTCATGTCTCAACCCGTAAGTTTATCGATAAGTTTGTCAGCTATGGAAATGGAAAAAATAAATAAAAACTATTTATTTCATCGTATTCAATAACAGATGTCATGAGTATACAACCAAGTTTTTATTTGATTTCAAACATATCCTACTAAAATTTGAAAACGCGAAAATTTGTATGGATATTTGTTAGTCTTTCACGCTAAAACGGCTAAACAGATTTGTATGAAATTAAATGCGCATAGTTTTCGACCTAGATAAAAACATATAATTAAAGATATTAAATAGCCTAGGTACACCACGAGCGCTCAAAATGTGTCCCAATCAAGTGCTTGAGCTCCTCTCAAGTACTTCTTGGTTCACAGTCACGCGCGAACCGCTGAAAAGTCGAAAGCTAAAATAAATTAATAACTTAAATATATAAATCGAACTATTTGTGCTATTTGTGAACTTATGTGAACTATTTGTGCACTTTCTAAAATCGTCGAAGGCATTATTTTATCTTTTAAAACAAGTAAAAAATATCTGCAATATTATTTGAAAATTGCGACTACAGCGAATGGTGCGCATGCAGTTAATTTAAAAGGCTCATTTTTGAGACGCGTATCCGTGTGGTCGGGGTCTCTTTTTGATATCTTCCCATTTTTACTTAATTTAAGATGAATTGTTATAATTTTCTGTACATAAGTATATGTAGTCTGTACATAAGTACAGAAAATTATGTTATATTTTTGTATAAACAAAAATATAATGTAT